AGACTGCCTTCGGAGGAATTCTGTAGATCACTCGTGCCATGGATGAGGGTCATTGGCAATGTCAGTGATTCAGGCTACCTGACTTCCACTGCGCTCTGCTTGCCACAGTTCATCACCCCCTTTGCGAGGAATCCCTGGTCCCTGTCTGCAGTGCCCACCTGGCTCCCAGCTTGTCAGCCTCTCTGGCTCTTAAAGCATCTCCCGGTCTTGGGTCTGGTTCTCACTGCCAGTGGCTTCAGCTCCTAGGTCTGGCCCTGGCCACTCCTCTCTGGCCGGCCACTGGCAACTATGCCAGTCTCCAGCGTGGGGGTTGCCACCGCACCAGAAGCGACTGTGACTCCCTGTTCCTACAAGATCTGATAAAATCCTAAGCCCCAGCCTCGACCTCCCCTCCCTCTTGGAGTTTTTCATTTCCAAAGCTTCCCGTCGGATTGTCAGGGTTATTCACTCACTGAGCACCGGCGATGTGTCAGGTGCTGATGGAAGGGCACGAACAGGACTTGGATTACATCTGTTAGAGGAGAGGGCAGGAAAGAGGAGAGAGATCTGGGACGTGCTGTGAAAGAAAAGAGAAAGGGGCCAGGAGGGAGCGCAGCCTCAGAGCAGGCCCCCGAGGAAGGGTGTGCCACCTGGTCCACCCCGCTGCTTCCATCACCTCCTGCTCTGCCATCACCTGCTGGCTCAGCCCTGGCAGAGTTCGGCTCTGGGCCCATGCCCCACGCAGGCTTCGCTCAGTTCTGCGTCTCAGGAGCGTCCCAGGGCGGTGGTGGGTGGGGGGCACTGTGCTCTCGTCACTCCAGCGGGCAGGGCGGGGCCAAGTGCGCGCGGATGCATGGTGGTATCGGGGTGCTGGGACCCCCGAAAGCCAACCGCCCCCGTGGAGATGCAGGGTGGTTTCCGGAGCCTGAAAACGGTGGGGCAAGTTAGGGTCCCTCAGCATCAGTACAGGTGTTGACCCTCCGGGGCCAGCCTGCGGGCCCCACGAGGCCCCGGGTGAGGGGTGTGGGTGCTCACCCATCCTCCAGTGGTCCCGCCTGCGGCCGAGCGGCGCGGGGGGAGGGCAGCCTGCTTGCACAGACCTAGGCCTTCTGCCTAACCGAAAGGCACATGACCTTGGCCCTGGGAGCCTCGTTTTCCTCAGCGGAAAGTGGGGGACCTCTCTGCCAGGAGGAGGGGCAGCTGGGGGCCGGAAGTCAACCTTGGAGAATTTAGGAAGAAGAGACAGAATTTAGGAGGAAGAGAAACTTGCCAACTGGGGGCCAACGGCGGAGTTGGGGCTGAGCTGTGGGCGGGGCTGGGACTACTGGACTGTCTCCCAGGAGGACGCCCCTTGTAGGGCGGCCTGGGTTGGAGGGGAGCATAGGCATGCAGGAGGGGCGATCTGATCAAGGCCTGGGGCTGCCCCCAGATCCGGGAGGGGGGGACACCTGCCCATGGGAAATGCGGCAGGGGGAGCAGTGGCCCCAGGAAGCCTGATCACCCTGGATGAGGTCAGGACCTAGTACCTGGAGGCTGGGAGAGGTGGAGGCTTCAGTGAGGGGGGCAGGAAACCCCCAGGCCAGGGGGTGGGCTGCTCATCCCTCTCCAAGCCCCACTCTGTGGCAGTCACCCAACTCGAGTGCCGGGTCCTCTGCTCCCACCAGCCCCGGGGACCTCAGTGTCTGCCTGGGGATCGTCCGTCCGTCGTCATCTGGCCTGCCTGTGCCTTGGCTGCTTCCTCCTGATGACGCTGCCCCTGCCCGTGGCTGCCCGCAAACTTTGTCTTCACGGACACCTGCCCCCTCCAGGCTGCCCCTGGGGGTCCTGATCTGTGATGGTCACTCTTCCTCAGCCGGCAGGCTCCCAGCAGATCACCCATCGCCACTGGCCTCTCAGCCCCATGTCTGGGCTTCACTCGCTTCTGCCTCCTTGCCTTCCTTCACCCCTGCCTCATCTGGAAAAACCCAACCTGGAAGTTCTGGGTGTGTACATGTGTGTGGGGGTGGTGGGGTGGGGAGAGGGTAGTTCCAGGGGCTGAGCGAGGGTCTGCATAGGCTCCGTTCCCAGTGGTCTTCTGGGGTGTGCCCTGATCACGGTGGACGCTGTGACCGGGGACACTGCTGGGTGTCAGGAGGTCAAGGCCTGGGCGCCCCTGCAGGACAGAACTTGAGGCCCAGGCTGACTGAGTGGAGCTGGCCCTATCCCGGGTACCTCCGTGGCTTGAGCTCCACTCCAGTCACGGGACTGGGGAGTGGGCCATCAGAGGCCAGGGCATAGCCCCGCTGTTCCTGGCTCCTATGAAGCTTCTGCCGGTGGGTGGAGGCCGGCCTGGGCCGGGGCAGGGGCGCGGTGAGGGCTGCGGACCTGTAGGGCCTTGGGGCTCTGGCCCCAGCAGCCCCTGGTCTCGTGACCCTAGACAGGCCCCCCAAATGGTGTCCTCTGTTGCAAAATGAGGGTGCCAGTGCTGACTTTCAAGAGCTATTGGGAGCATTAAAGGGGCTGTGTGTGCCAAGGGCTGACTATTGTCCCTGTGGTCACAAGAACCCACCACCTTCGAGGGCTGTGAGGGCCCCAGCTAGCTCTGTGTGGGGCGAGGGGCTTTTACCCATGTCGTTCAGTCACTCAGTCGTGTCTGATTCTTTGCGGCCCCATGAACTCCAGCACGCCAGGTTTCCCTGTCCATCACCAACACCCGGGGCTTGCTCAAACTCATGTCCATTGAGTCGGTGATGCCATCCAACCATCTCATCCTCTGCCATCCCCTTCTCCTCCTGCCCTCAATCTTTCCCAGCATCAGGGTCTTTTCAGATGAGTCAGTTCTTCGCATCAGGTGGCCAAAGTATTTGGGGTTTCAGCTTCAACATCAGTCCTTCTAATGAATATTCAGGATTGATTTCCTTTAGGATGGACTGGTTGGATCTCCTTGCAGTCCAAGGGACTCTCAAGAGTCTTCTCCAACACCACAGTTCAAAAGCATCAGTTCTTCAGGGCTCAGCTTTCTTTATGGTCCAACTCTCACATCTACACACGACTACTGGAAAAACCATAGTTTGACTAGACGGACCTTTGTTGTAGCTGGAAGAATAAAGTAAGGGATGGTCACCAGATGAAATGCCATGCAGCTGTTCACAAAAACGTGGTCAGTTGGAACACACTGATAAAGAAAGATGTCTGTTGTGGGTTGAATTGAGTCCCCAGAGAAGACACCATGAGCTCCTCGCCCCGGTGCCTGTGAATGTGACATTTGACGATGGTCTTTGCAGGTGTTATTAGTTAGGTCATCCTGGAGTAGGCGGGTCCTTAAGCCAACACCTGGTGTCCTCCTGAAAAGAGGACAGGGACCCTGGAAGTCCAGTGGCTAAGATTCCAGGCGTTCACTGCTGGGGGCCCCGGGTTCAATCCCTGTCAGGGAACTAAGATGCTGCAAGTCAACTGGTGTGGGTAAAAAAGTAACAAAAAAGGCAACAGACCCACAGGGAAAAAGATGACTTGAGGATGGAGGCAGAGACTGCAGCAACCTGCCTATGAGCCAAGGGCTGCCGGCCACCAGGCGCTGGGAGAGGCCAGGAGAGATTCCTGCTCGGGCCCTCCAGAAGCAACCAACACTGCTGACGCCTGAATGTCGCACTTCTGGCTTCCAGAAGCTTAGAGAAGTCTCTGTTGTTTTAGCCACACGGTCTGTGGGCCGTTGTTACGGCAGCCCTGGAAACTGCTACAATCTTCAGTCTCCAAGATAACTGCCAATTGAAGACAGCGAAGAACGGAACGGTCAGGACCTGGGCCTGGCTTTGCCCAGGTACAGAGGACATTCCCACGTGCTGGGACTTGCCCAAGACGCCCCAGGAGGGGCGCACAGCCAGGAAGAGGCAGGAGTCAGGTCTTCCTTCTCACTGCACAGCCTGGGTTCCGCTTGCATTTTTTACTTTTTACCATGTTAATAAAGAAATAAATAAAATTCAGATCAGGGAGAAAACAAAATGTCAAAAGACCCGTGTAAACCCGACACCTCTCCTAACCCCTCCTCTCTTGGTGTCTGACCATTAGCAGCAAGGCTGGGAGCGGGGACCCTGGGCTTTAGCATCTGCCTGGTTTCTTTCAGAGGGAAGAGAAATGCAAGGCAGAGGTACCTCACTGAGGAAGGAGCTGCTGCCTAGGACCAGGGCGTGGGGGGCCCTCCTGGGTTAACCTGTCTGAGGACACCCAGCCTGGGGTCACCAGCCAGCTCCTTCCCGCCCTCCTGTCCTTGGAAACTGCAGACAAGCCTGATGTCACAGGCTGGTATGGGGGATTCGGCGGGCTGAAAGGGACACAGGACCCCAGAGCGCTTCTGGGGGGAAGCTGGGCCTCTCTCCAGCTCTCTTCTCTCCTCTGCGAGGGGCAGAGGTTTCTGGCTCAGCGGTTGAAAGGAGTCTCCAGGCTCGGAGCTGTGGAGACCCAAGGTGGCCCGGATTGATTCTGGGAGGCTGAGCAGAAGTGGGGGTGGGTTGGACAGGAAGACACCCCTCTGGCACGGAAGGCCTCCTTCAGGAAGCGCTCAGGGATCCTTAGGTTGGTCTAAGTCAAGCTCAGGACAAGTCCATCCTCCCCGCAGAGCTCCCCTCTGCCCTTCCCTCCTCCGGATTCTGGCCTCAGCTAGGGTCCCCCGAGCCCTCCCCCCTCAGTCCTTCCAGGGAGCTCACGGCACACAGCGCCTGCCCTGCGCAGGTGCCTACCCTGCCCACGCGCCTGCCCTGCCCACCGTCCCGCTGGGCAGGGACCGGGCCTCCCCTCCCTGGGTCACAACAGACGGAGATGCGCTCACTACCTAGGTGAGGCTGCACCCAGCATGTTGGGGAACTTCAGTCCGCCCCTCACGCCTCCATTAGCCCCATTTTGTAGATGGGGAAACTCAGGGTTTGGAGGTGCCCTGTCGCTGGCCTGGGTCAGGCCAACCACCAAGCTGGCCCCTCCGACTCATGTGAGGGGGTGGGGGTGAACCCCCTTCCTCAGTGATACACAAATGAAACCTCACTCTCTTAAAAAACAAAGAGCACTTTATTCCCTCGGAGGTTTCTGTACAACAATGATGCCACGTGGGGGCGGGGGGGTGGGGAGGGATTGGGGGGAGGGTCATCCTGGCTTCCTTGAGCACAGCCCGCCTCCCGGGAGTAGGGCCAGTCACCTCCAGTCACCGTGGAGGCCACAGTCACCTCCAACTTGGGCAAAAGCATTCGCCTCCCTGTCTGGTCTCCCGGACACGAGGTGCCAGCTGTGCCCAGGCTGCCGGAGCTCACACCACCGGCTGGCTTCTAGTGACGGCCTTCGGCCTGGAGGGGCCCAAACTGGTCAGACCTGTGCCCACTCACAGGCCCCGCCTGGGACTCACGGGAACGCAAAGCATTGAGACTGACTGTGCCTGGGAAAGACACCATTTCCCAGGGCTCAGGGGTCCCACAGGGTTCTCCCTGCTGACCCCTGTGCAAACCTCGGGGAAGCCCAGCCGTCGGCAGTGGGCCTGGGCCAGACATCAGCTGAGTCATGTCCCCATTTTACAGATGGGCATCCTGAGGCTCAGAGAGTGGTAAGACCCCCCCTTGCCATGGCTCTGTTTAACTGTGGTGATCTCCCCTTCCACTGACCTGTGTCTGCTCCCCCACCCCAGCTCCTAAGCTAATGTGGAACTTCCAGAAAGTTCCATGGCTTCTTAGTGGTCCCCAGGTTACCCTCCAGTGGGAGTGGCGGGAGTAGGGGTATTCCCAGCCTTGCAGCTTGGAGAAGCTGGGGTGTGCTGGCAGGGGGCTGGGCTCTGGAGCCCCAGAAGGCACCTGAGCTGCTCCTCTGATCCTAACACAGACTGAACAGGCGGCCTAGAAGTGTTCCTGGAGCTCTGCAGGTGGAGGAGTTGAGAGTTAATGAGCCACTGGCAAGCCCATTGGTGGGTCTTCAGAAACCCCCCTGGAGGTGTGGCCGGGATCCAGGGAAGGGTTGGAGTGTTGGCTGGGTTTCTGGAAGACTCCAGAAGCCAGTAACAGTGCCAAGCTGGGTGCTCCACAGGCAGCATCTCTGAGCTTCCTGACAGTACCACACGGGGAACAGGCTCCCCATTTCACAGCCAAGAAAAGCCAAAGGAGGTCAAGCACTGCAGCCAAGGCCCACCCAGCTGAGGAGTGGAATCCAACCCAGGTCTGACGGAGCCCACAGTCCATGGAGTCTCGGGTGTCTGGGGCAGGGCGGTCGGTGGGGGACCCATTTACAGTTTTGGAAGAGTCTGGGCTGCGTTTTGGAAAAGCGGCCCCCGGGACGGTGGGGCGGGGGGCATCACAGGCTGGAGGGCTGGGCCAGGGCGGCGGAGCCGGGGTCGCCCTCGAGCCGGGCCTCCTCGCCGCGCGCGTAGCTGAGCACCACGGTGACGGTGGCGAAGGTGGCGGCGTTGACCGGGAAGGCGCGCAGCAGCGTGGAGGCCAGCCCCCGCGTGAAGACGCGCCAGCCCTCGGCGCGGTAGCTCTGTTGCACGCAGTCGACGATGCCCCGGTAGCGTGGCGCCCCCTGCAGCCCGTCGGCCTGCAGCCGCGACTTGACCACGTCCACGGGGTAGGTGGAGAGCCAGGACGCGATGCCCGACGTGCCGCCCGCCAGCAGCAGCTTGGGCACCAGCAGGCGGTCGCCCGGCTCGCAGCCCAGCGCGCGCGTCAGCACGTCGTAGGTGAGGAAGTAGACGCCGAAGCTGGGCGTCTCGCGCAGCAGTGTGGATGCCATGCCCCGGTTGACGCCGCGCAGGCCCTCCTGCCGGTAGATCTGTGCCAGGCAGTCCAGGGGCCCGCGGTAGGTGCGCGCCGGGCCCGCCTCCTGCAGCTGCAGCCGCGTCTTGGCCAGCTCCATGGGGCAGCAGATGACACACTGGATGGCCCCTGCCGCCGCGCCCGCCAGGAACTGGTTCAGTGGCGAGTCCCGGCCCAGCGCCCGCAGGGCGTTGCCCTGCACTCCGAACACCAGCGCGTTGATGAAGGTCAGCCCCAGGAGCGGCGACCCCAGGCCTCGGTACAGGCCCAGCACCTGCGGGGCGCACGGAGAGGTGTCAGGTGCGCTCCGGCTTGGAGTCTATAGAGCTGCTCATGCCCACCTCCCCCGGGGACCCTCCATGCCGGTGGTGGCTGCCCCGACCCACCTCAGCTGCTCATGAGGACCAAGCAGAATTTGATCAGAACCCAGTTTCTCAATCTGAGAGACCCGGGCATGCCCGCCCTCCCGTTTCCAAAGCCTGGCTGTGCCCCTGAGTTGCCCACCACCTCCTCTCCCGGCTCTGCGGTCCAGGGGCCACAGCATCACAGAGGCGGGGTGCCCCGCTCCACCGCCTGTGGTCCAGTGAAAGAAAGTGAAAGGGAAAGTGGCTCAGGCGTGTCCCACTCTTTTTGACCCCACGGACTATACAGTTCATGGAATTCTCCAAGCCAGAATACTGGAGTGGGTAACCGTTCCCTTCTCCAGTGGATCTTCCTGACCCAGGGATCGAACTGGGGTCTCCAGCCTTGCAGGCGGATTCTTTACCAGCTGAGCTGTCAGGGAAGCCCCTGTGGTCCAGACCCACAGCACCGCAGAGGCAATGCTGAGGCTGGCGCCCCACCTGACCGCCACGGGCCCCAGACACTCACACTCTCCTGCTTGATGATGGCCTGGAAGCAGTGCAAGGTCCCTCGGTATTGGGGCTTCTCCACACTCTGGACCTGAAGCCGCACCTGGAAGGAGGACCCAGTGTAAGTCAAGTGGCCGCGTGGAGTCAGAGTGCCCAGCTCTCTGGGGCCGGCACGCAGGACCCCCGGGGAGACTCTCTCCAGGAGGCCTGAGGTTGGACCCATGAGGCAGGGAGCCAAGGAGCTTTCTATGGCTTTTGGAATCCCAGGGAGGGGGCTGGATATCTGTGCCATTTTTAGGGAGGGCTGTCTGTGGACAAACAGTCACGGAGACAGCCAGCTGCAGAGGGGTGGGGGTCCCCAAGACCCCTGTTCACTATCTCTGCACGAGGTACTGACAGTGGGGCCTAAGACATCTCCTGAGACCTCCCACCGTCCCAGAAGCAAGTCCTGGCCGATGCCCAAGGGGTGTCCAGTCTTAACACCCCACCACGTGCTCTCTGCATCGGGGCTGGGAATGCCCACTGGGTGTTCAGTGAGGAGCCTTGGGCCTTGCGGGCCTTTTTCTGCCGGTGGCCCCTGGGGAGGGCAGTGGTCATGAGTTAGTAAAGCGGTGACCGGAGAGCCACTGGTCGCCTTCTTGGGACCAAGTCAGCAGCTCCAGGGCTCAGGGGTCCTTGGAGCCCAGCAGGCCAGAGCCTCGCTGTGAAAGCACTCTTTGTCCACAGAGAGCTTATCTCAGTCCTTGACACTTATCCCCCAGGGTCAGAGCAGGAGTATCTTTACTTCCTGTGTCTGGGGGAGGCGGGTGAGCTAGGTTCAGCCCTGGGCTTAGCTCTGACTCAGACGCGATCCCCACTACAGCCCTGGCCATGGCGTGAGTGCCTCTCTGTGCTGGGCAGTGGAGAGGGGCTCCGTCGTGATCACTGGCTGAAGTGGGTCGGGGTCACTCCTGTTTCAAAGATGGGAAAGCTGAGGCTCAGAAAGATCCTGCAACTCGGTCAAGGCTGTCCTCTCCAGGGACATGAGGGGCTGTGTTGGTCATGGCCAGAGTGGGGTTGAGGGTGCTGGCGAATGCACTTACAGAAAAAAATGTGTTGTAAGCAAAAAAGAAATCTCATGCCTGCACACAGGGACCTCAACGCTGGCAACCACTGCTCTGAAAGGCCGCTGACCACCCCAGCACCCCTCCCCACTCTAGCTGCCAGCTCGGAGGAGAAGAGCACAACCACTCAAGAACACTGAGCTCTGCCTCAGGTTGCTTCTGTGATGGGAGGCTTCCCACTTTCCCTTTGATGTCCGGGGGTCTCTGGAGGACTGGCTTTTCCTCTTGTGGCCCCTGACACCAGCATCAAGGAGGCAGTGTGAGCAGAGATGATGTGAAACGGAGCTGTGCCCTGCCCTCCGTGGGTCAGACTTACGGACACCCCGGTGCCATCCTGGCAGGCTGGACTTGGTTTCACGCCCATGCTCGGGCCAGCTCGGGTCCCACAAGAGGCTGCAGGGGATCTCCCCTTTGCATCTGACCCCCGGGGCTGGGATGGGCACTCACCATCTGGGAGGCTTGGGGGAACCAGGTCTGGGGTAAAATGTGGCCTGAGTCTTATAGAATCCAGAGTTGAGGTTTTTAACACTTGGGGGTAGTAGGATCTCATTGGAGGATTGACGGACCCACCCCTGGAAAAGTTCGTCATTTATACATCAACCCCAGGAGGCTCCCAGCTTCCCCCTCAGGGCTAGGAGACCCCGTCTAAAGAACCCCCGATCGAGACGGGGCTACTGTTTCTCAACCAGCCCCCAGGGTCCCCACCCCGGGACCTGCGCTTGGGTGCAAGCTCATCTCATACCCTCCCTTCCCCTGCCAGTCTGGTGGGTGCGGGGTGGTGGGGCGGGGTCCAGGCCCGGGGTCTGGTTTGGGCAGAGAAGAGAAGCGTTGGGTTCACCTGGTCTGTACTTACTAGCGCTCTCCGGGATGAGGCTTACGCTCATCTACAACAAAGTTACATTTTGCTATGGACGGAGACAGCCCCTAGCTCAGAAAGTAAAGGCAGTTAAAGCAACACAAAATTTCAACATCACATCCAGGCCCGGGACCCCCGAGGCCAGGCCCTGGCCTCCCCGCCCCCGCCCCCTCCCGGGGCCGGCTGCTCCCTGGTGAGAGAGGGCCTAGACGCGTCCACAGAAACGCGTGTGAAGGTGGTGTCCATGGACAGTGGCTGTGGTTCTGGGTGCCACAGAGGTGAACCACGTCTTGGACTCAAATTTCTGTTCCAAGGACCCGGGGGGGACACACTGCCAAGGTCGCAGTCACGAGATGGTGTGGATGGAACTGCAACGTGGGTGTCCCCTCATGCATTCGGAAACCCAGGTCCAAGTTCATGAGGTTTATAAAGAGGGAAAACAGGACTGTGGATGAGAAGTTAGGCTGCTGGCCGCCTGGAAGAGTGGAGGGCAGAGGAGTTAGGAAGGGAGGGGGGTTTCTGCGGAGAGGGCTGCCTCATTTCTCCTCGCAGGTTTGTGGTTCGCTGGTGAGCACATGGGCGTGGGTCTCCATGTGAAACAGTTCAGTGAAAATGACCACTTGCAGAGGTGGGGGGTAAATCCCACTTTTTCCAAAAGCCAGGAATATATATGGGCCTGTGTGCATGTCTGTTTTCTGGTAGAACTCATTAACAAGGGTTGGGGGAAAGGTTACATAAGGGACTAGTTTTTGTTTTTTTGTTTTGTTTTGTTTATATGTGTCTGTTATGGTGAACATTCTTTTACACCCTACATTACTTTTGTAATAGAAAGCTAACCAAAAAAAGTGTGTACGTATGTGTTTTAATTAAAACACATTAAAAAAAAATCCCAGCGTTTTCCTGTTTTCTTTGACTGAGAATGCTTATTATTATTATTTTTTAATATTTACTTATTTGGCTGTGCCAGGCCTTAGTTGTGGCAAGTGGAATCTAGTTCCCTGACCAGGGGTCAAACTCAGGCCCCTGGCATTAGAAGCTTAGCCACTTGACTACTGGGGAAGTCCCAAGAATGCTTAACTTTTATAATGCAAAACAGCCGGGGGGGGGGAGGCGAGAAAAAAAGCCATTGGCATTAAGTTAAAGCAAACGAGCTGAGTGGCTCTACCTGGAATCAGCACAAGGTCACAGTGTCTGAGCACATGGGGGTGGGGGGTGGACAAGAAGGGTCAGAGCTTGAGTGACAGTGGTGACTTGCTAGGGGTGGGTTTTCTTCCCCTTTAAAAAGGCTTGGCTTTTTAAAGATCGGTTTGCGCAGTGGTGATGCTGGTGGGCCTCAGTGGCAAAAACAAAAACAGTTACAAATGGATTTCCTCAAAGACCACCCCCAGGTGCCAGGTAAAGTGGGGCGGGGCAGGAACCCAGTGGTGGAGGGGTTCCTGAGCTCAGGCTACCCCTGGGGCACTGGTCATGGCTCAGGAGCTCAGAGGGAGCTGGAGGCATCAGAACAAAGTGGCCCCCAGCCTGGAGGGACTGACCTGGGGGGGGGGTTGGGGGGGACCCCAAGGAGGCGCCTGAAGAAGGCCTGGCCGAGTCCCAGCTGAGAGAGGCCTCTGCAGAGCTGGGCAGAGGAAGTGAATCAGAGACACTTCTGGGCTAGATGCAGCTTTGAGAGGCACGCACAGCACATGACCGTGGCCCCACGTGGACAGGCTCCCCCAGCCCTGGAGGGACTTGGGGGCCTGCTGCGTGGCAAGAGAGCCTGGCCTTGCCTTCTGGGATGGAAGGAATCCATGCCTTTCGGAACTAACAATTCAGTCCAGCACAAACCACACCGCTGTGCCGGGCCCGGAGGCTTCGGGAAATCTCGCCAGCCCCTCACTGTGCAGGTCAGAACAGTTGGCCTGGAGGTAAAGTGACCCGCAGGTGGGCTGCCAGGGGGCCTGGAGCTAGCTGCGCAAGGCCCAGAGAGAGACCAGTCTTGTTTGTTTTTGGAGTGGCTTGGAGGATCTTAGTTCCCCGACCAGGGATGGGGCCCCGGCCCACAGCGGTGAAAGCACAGAGTCTTAACCATTGGGCCACTGGGACAGACCTATCTAAGGTCAGAGCACGTGCTCGGGGCCTGTGCTGGAGGAAATGCAGCCCTACTGTAGTCACAGGACCTGTTCTCGGCCCAGGGATACCTGGGTTCCTGAAAAAGGAGGAGGCGGGGGTCTCTCAAGCCCGCCTACACAAGGGTGACATCCTTGTCTTTGCTCCACTCTCGCCCCTGAGGGAAGAGGAGCCAAGTTCAGGGTTCAGCGGGCTACAGGGTCTGGCCTAGGGCCCACCGCTTGCAGTTCGCCGGGCTCCCAAGGAAGCCCGCGAGGAAGGGGCCCGGCTTGGCTAGTTTAAGGACAAAATCCCCAACAACAGAGGGCAGATCTTATTTGGGAGTTTTCAGCTGAGAACGTGGACTCTCTTGGTTTCCATTGAGGCCTCGGAGAACCCAGGCCCCAACCCCGTGCCAAGGAGTGGGCTCGTGGAGGGGGGCGCCTCCCCGGAGCTATACTGTGCAGCCCCCCAAGAAATGCCCAGGCAGTGTGTCAGCCCCAAGGCCCACCACTCTGGGGGGGTCGTGGTCACGGTCACGGGAAAGGCCGATGTGTGATCTCTCTGTAATTCTCTGAATCCTTGCCTGCAGGAAGCAGTTGGAGGCGTTCTGGGTGAGGACAGGGTGCATGCCCCTGGCTCTGGGCAGTCCCTCTGTCCCAGGTGGCCAAGCACCAGGGTGGACCTCCAGGTTCAGCCCCGGCTGGGAGATGGAGGAACAGACCAGGAGGAAAGGCCCGGCCGGCCTGCTGGACAGGCCGCTGCTCGCCTGGGCATCAGGGATAAGCCTGATTCTATGTTCTGACCTGTGGGAGGACCTTGGGGGGCTCCTGAGATGGTCACCAGAAAGGGGTATCCCGCCGCCCCGACCCTGCAAGCCTCCCTCCAATGTCTGCACCTCCACCACGGCCTGAGGATAAAATGGCGATGAGAGACTCACCTTGACCGTGTCAAACGGGTGTCCCACCAGCACGCCTGCCACACCTGCGGGGAGAAAGGACAGCCCGTGACCCAGACGCCCCAGAAACCGCCGTGTGGGGCATGGGTCCAGCGAGGATGTGCCTGGCACATCCCGGGAGCCCCCGGATCCTTGGGGTGGGGTGAGGGGAGGGTGGCCATCCCAAGGCCAAGCCAGGATCTGTCAGACTCAAAGCTGGTGGCTCTCCCTCCGTCCGGCTGCCCGTTGCAGGGGACAGAAGAAGGCGCCCCTTGGTGCAGCAACCTGGATGGACCCAGGGAGTGTCCTACTGAGTGAAGTAAGTCAGACAGAAGGAGAAATACTGTACGACATCCCCTGTATGTGGAATCTAAAAGGAAGTGATACAAATAAGCTTCCTTACAAAATAGACTCACAGACTTTGAGGACGCACTTAGGGTTGCCAGAGGGAAGGGCGAGGGGAAGGGATGGTTAGGGAGTTTGGGATGGACGTGTACACACACTGCTGTATTTAAAATGGATAACCAACAAGGACTGCCTGTAGCGCACAGGGACCTTCGCTCAATGTTATGTGGCAGCCTGGATGGGAGGGGGTTTGGGGGAGAATGGATACATGGATATGTATGGCTGAGTCCCTTCACTGTCCACGTGATACTCTCACAATACTGTTAATCAGCTATGCTCCAATATAAAATAAAAAGTTTTTAAAAAAGGAGAGAAGGTGTCCCTTGGGAGGTTGTTGAAGCCACTTCTCACATGTTCCCACCGCTCCAAATGCCTGGCACAGTCGGGGGCTCCAGGGGTTCTGGACTGGGGGCCAGCCCCTCACCCAGGCTTGAACTGTCCCTCTGTCATTGCGCAGCTGGCTGAGCTCACAAAGGACGCAGCATCTGAGCCTCACCCTGTGCACTCGTACAGGATTGAGAGTCAGCCTTCCCCAGGGCTGCCCCCGGTCCTGGAGTGCCGACCCGGACGTGACGCATCGCAGCTGCTGGCTGACCGCTCCCCTGCCCTGCACGGGAGCCCCGCTGTGCCCGGGGTGGCCGCCGTGACTCTGTGTTCGTGCTTGGTTATGTATCAGCCTAGGGCCTGTAAAGACCCACCCTCCCAGAGAAGGACAAGCCCCCCCAACCCCCACCCCAAACGGCTCACAAGCGCCCGTCAGAGCTCTGTGTGCTGTGCGGGTTATGAACATCCACGTGGACCAGTCTTGTTACTCGCTTCACGGAGGAGAGTGAGGCTCAGACGGGTGTGCTGACTGCCCCACTGACCCCGTGCTCTCCTCCCTGGAACTCCACGCGTGTGTACGTCTTACAGCGCTGCTTTTATTCCTATGTTGTTCAGTCACCCAGTCGTGTCTGACTCTTTGTGACCCCATGGACTGTAACACGCCAGGCTTCCCTGTCCCTCACCATCTCCCCAAGTCCATTGCATTGGTATTTATTACTATATTTCAATGTATAATAGAGCAATTAAACAGGCTAATATTCACTGAGTCACAATCACGTTTCTACCTGCTGGTTACCATTCTTAGCCCTGTATGTGTACCAACGCTCCCTCTTATGTATATAAAGGACTATTAGCCCATTTTACAGATGAGGAAACTGAGGCACAGGAAAGTGATGTATGTCCACACCACACAGTAAGTGGTGGAGCCAAGATCTGGACCCAAACCTTCTGGGCCTGGAGCCCTCCTTCTTAACCATTCATCTCTCCTGCTCCCCATCAAAGCTGGTTACCACGTTAGTGGATGTCCGCAAGTAAATAGGAGTTATTATGTTTCTTCACATATTGTATTTTTAATCCTTATATAATGTCCTTTTCACCTTGTTTAATGCTTCAGACTTTAAAAGTGCAAGTCGCTCAATTGTTGACTCTTTATGACCCCGTGGACTATACCATCCCTGGAATTCTCCAGGCCAGAATACTGGAGTGGGTAGCCTTTCCCTTCTCCAGGGGATCTTCACAACCCAGGGATTGAACCCAGGTCTCCCGCATTGCAGGCGGAGTCTTTACCAGCTGAGCCACAAGGGAAGCCCTCAGGCCTTAAAGTCCACTCTATTTGATACTAGCTTTGCCAATCCTGCTTTGCTTTTGGTCACAAGTATCTGGTATAGTTTGGTGACGTTCCTAATTTTCAACTTTGTCTTACTACTTTTAGATGTTCCATAAACAAACTACAGCTGGGTTTTGGTTTCTACCCCAGTCTGAAGCAGTTTCAGGTTTTGCCAAGACAAGAGATCTGACAGTTCGGTCTTATTTTATGGGTATGACCACTTTGCTTTCCACATTTTTGTGAGTTCAGGCAAACTACTATTTATTCCCTTTCTGCTTGTTAATTTGTTAGTTAAGCTAACTAACCTCTGCTTTGGAACACTCATAATCCACATGTGGAAGTGAAAGTCGCTCAGTCGTGCCCAACTCTTTGTGACCCCATGGACTATACAGTCCATGGAATTCTCCAGGCCAGAATACTGGAGTGGGTAGGAGTGGGTAGCCTTTCACTTCTCCAGGGGATCTTCCCGACCCAGGAATCGAACCGGGGTCTCCTGCATTGCAGGTGGATTCTTTACCAACTGAGCTATCAGGGAACCTGCATGTAGAAACAGGGTTAAGAACTATCACCGCCCCACCATGGGGTGAGAGTAGGAGGCTTTCTCTGCCCCCTACTGCCCCACTTTACCCCCAAGAGACGTCTCCAAGCACATTCCCACCCTGCCCATCTTCCACTGACCTTCACTTTCAAAACTCACGAGACTCAGGGCTATTTCATCTTGGGGTCTCTATTCATCACTGGAGCCTCTCTTGATTACGACCCTCAGAGGTAACACATCTGAACTCCTACTCATCTGCAAAACCTGTTTCTTTAATGCCACCAGGGAAGACAGTCCTCAGCTCTGGGGAGGACGGAGTCCAGGCCATTAACTCTGGCCACGGCCACGAATCTTCTGGTTTCCAGCGCCACAGATGAGAAATCCATGGGCAGCCTCTCTATTCACCTTTGTCAATAACTTATCTATTCTATCAGAAAGCTGCTGAGATTTTTATCTGTAGATTTTGGGAATATCACCAGGAGATACCAAGGGTGTGTCTTTTTTTCTTTAAAGAACTATGCCTGGAATGCCCTCAGCCCTTTCACTCAGCAGACTCCTGATCAGAGAAAATCTCCACTATTATTTATTCATCATACTCATCACCGCCAGACCTTTTCCTCCTCTGGAGCCACTAACACTCACAGGTGGGTGAAAAGACACCCCAAGCCTGTCTTGTCCTTCAGCCCTTCCACCTTCGTGTTTCTGGGCTTCAAGACACACTTTGTTTTGATCATTTGAGACCCACCCCCGTTTTCATTTCATGTTTTGAATTTTCTGAATTTGAAATTCTAGCTCCTGGGGAAGTGGAAGTGGGTACTGGGACCCTTCTAACCCAGCCCCCTGCAAGGCCTCAGGGCTGCTGTCAATCAAGGCCCCACACCACCTCCCAGAGGGCGAGTTTGGACACGTGGATCACACGCAGCCAATC